CGGAATTTTGATGATTGAGCCAATTTTTCAATGAAATTGTGTGAAAATCCACAAAGGGAGTTCCTTCAGAGTACTTTGCACCCTGGAAGACTATTGTCTATATATATTGTATATCCCCCATTTAACGGTACCTCCTTATATTCGGTATTTTGATGATTTTAGATACATTCTTCAATGGAATTGTCTAAAAATCCATATTAGAATTTCTTTCTAAGCACTTTACTCCCTGGAAGAGAAATGTATATATAGGTCCACATTATCCTATAGCCCACATACAACGGTACATCCGATATTCGATATTTTGACGAATTTAGGGTCATTATTCGGGGTTGTTTCAAAGTTCGTATTTATAATTCGTAATGGGTACTACAGCCTATGACAAAAAATTGCGTATGCAGGCGCTTCGTATAGCCGGTTTCTCCCAATATTCGGTATTTTGATGATTTTAGCGACATTCTTCCCGGAGTTGTTTTAAATTTCGTATTTAGAGTTCTTAATGGGAACTTCAGTCTATGAAAGTAAATGTCTATGCAGGTCCGGGTCTTCGTATAGGCCCCAAATATCAGAACCTCTCCATATTCGGTATTTTGAGGATTTTAGGTACAATAGGAACCGAATTTGTTTGAAATTTGGTATTTGAAGTTCCAAATAAGTTTTACAGAAAATTGTCTATGCATGTCCAGGTCTTCGCATAGACCCGATATAACGATTCCTCCCTATATTTGATATTTTGATGATTTTGCCTACTTTATGCATCTATTTTTTTTTTCAAGTTTCGTATTTTAATATTGTAATGGCTTATCACATAAGTTGCCTATGCAGGTCCACGTCTTCGTATAGACCCCAATATAACGGTTATATTCGGTATTTTAAAGATTTTAAGAATTTTTAACGAATTTTATTTAAAAAAAATCTAAATTCGACCCGGCCGAACTTACTGCTTTTCTACTTGTTAAATTTTCGTTTGCTGCCTCATAATTTATTTTTGAACGCCAAAATGCTTATGTCGTTTAATTGTCATTTTTGGCTATATTTGGCCATTTTGGTTATATTTCGGTAGAAATATGTTGAAAAATAATAATTATGCTGGCAACCTTTTGTGAAGTTTTACAATTGCAACGCCATCAAACATGTCGCATTACAACAATTTTTAACTATCAACACAAAATATGTGACAAGGGGAGTACTTAACAACATTGGCACGGGCTGCGAGCCAACAACACCTTATCCATGAACATACATAGATATGTAGGTATTACATACATATTTACTTGAGTTGATGACTTTTCATCACAGAAAACGTGTTTTCGCTCGAAATGGCCGGGCAAGACGTTTACTGTTTGTTCGGCGTTAAATAAGGCAAAGGGGAATGGACGTCAAGGCGAGCAATAGAATGGAGGGGCTAAAATGCTGTAGGTTTTCTTGTCGTTGTTTGGATAGACTGGAAACTGTTGCCACAAAAAAAAGCAAAGATCGTCAACGAGTCGCCAAACAAATTGCAAACAAGTCAGCATTGGCGAATGCCGCAAGGTAAATGATGTTTGAAATGGCACACAAAACGCAAGAAATCTATGGAAAAAACAAAACAACCCAAATCAAGGTAACATTTGTTTTGTTACTTTGTTGGCCTTTTTTTAGTGTTCTGCAAATTCTTGGCAAATAATATCTTTGGAATTCATTTGTTATACACCTCGCTAAAACATTCCAAAAATAGGTAAGAAGCGTGATTTTGTTGCCATGAATTCAAGACGTAAAAATTACAATACGAAACGTAGACATATAATTAAGATTTCTAATTGGTTGGCCCGAGGCGAGGCAATGTGGCAAAAAATATATTGGTTTTTCACCAAAAAACATCGTTAACTACTATTTCGGTTTAAATCGTTTATTTACTTTGTCTTTTTAATGAATGAAACCGAAACTTGGCCTCAAAAAATTATGTTTTGGAAGATGTGGGTTTCCAGTATTGAGATGGAATTCTGGGCTTTGATTGGAGCCATAATGTCTGTGTTTTGTTTTTGCAAAGGTCTTATTTGTACTTCCACTTTTATTTCGAAAATTGTATAATTTAATTTCTACATTTCATAGGAGAACCCATAAGGTGTATACAGGGTGAGATAAAAGAACAAAGTCAAACGCCATAATTTTTACATATTTTTTTAAATTTTATTAAATGAAAGCAAAGATGTCGGATGCTCTGCGGTATTTTGGCCCATTCCCGGCGAAGCGCTTGCTTGAGGTAATCGACAATTTTGTATTTTTTAGTGCCAACCTTGCTTTTCAAAATACTCCGGACACAACGGATTGGTATCCGGGGATTTTGGTGGCCATTGTGTGCAGAAATTGAAGTGAGGAACCTAATTCTGTAACCATTCTTGGGTGGCGCGTGCTGAGTGCTGAGTCTTCTTGGAATGTCCAAGATCTGCGCCCAAAAAGTTTACGTACCCAAGGCTTTAATACACCCTCCGGTATTTATTCTGATGCCACTGTCGATTAATACGAGCAGAGAGCAACCATCGGCTGTTATGGCAGCCCACACCATCACCATGGCCGGCGCTTGAACTCTGATGGCCAACCGAAGATGCACATTTTCAGCTGAACTCTTTGGCAAGTAAGCACGATCATTTTGTTTGTTTACAAACTGCTGGACAACGAATGTTTTCTCATCGGAAAAAAACCAAATTTGGCAGTTCACCACTTTCGGCCAAGCGAAGTAACTCTTTACCTCTTTTGAGTCTATTTTCTTTCTGTTGCGGTGTAAGTTTTGCACTTTTTGGAATTTCAATGGTTTTACCCCGACCTCATTTTTCAATACTTGCCGAATGGAATATTGCGATATGTTCAGCTCACGAGCCATTTTTCGGCCACTGGGACGCGGTTTTGGATCAAGTCGCTTCTTTACTTTTCGAACCATTTCTGCTGATGGTGCTGTTTTCTTCCGTCCACTTCCTTGACGTCGGGCTACGCTATCAATATCACGGTAACGAGCGATGGAACGAGACACAAAAGATTTATTCACATTTAAATGCTGGAGTAGTTTAGGAATGACAGCAGTCTGTAGTTGGTTGCAGTTTTTTCATCTTACCCTCTCTACATATGGGCAAAGGTATTTCTGAATTATATTTTTTATGACCTCAAATATCGTTGTTACAGAGTGTATATTATAGCTGCGGAGGACAAAAATAACAAAGCGGATGGACAATATATATGGGAGCTATAGCTATATCTAAACCGATTTCGATTAAAATTGGCGCACTTATTTTCAAGCCTAATTCGGTCGTTTGTGGAAAATTTCATTCTATCTTGGTTAATATTACACGTTTGGTGTACAATAAAAAACAAGTCGCACGATGATATATCTGGGAGCTATATCTAAATTTTGACTGATTATCTCTAATTTCAATAGGGTTCGTCCTTAGTTCAAACAAATTATTTGTGCAAAATTTCATCTGGATCGGACTATAAATGCGACCTGTCCATTGTGTACAAAAATACATGGACGGACAGGTGGACATGCATAAATCGGCTCAGAATGTGATTCCATGCAGATCATCAAAAGGATCTATGGGTCTATCCCATTTCCTTTGGCCTGTTATAAAAAAAAATGCACAAAGACATAATACCCTGACCACCTTATGGTGTAGGGTATAAAAACCGAATATAGGGAGGTACCGTTGTACGGGGTTATACGAAGTCCTGTACCTGCGTTGACAATTTTCTGTCACAGGCTGTATTAGAAACTTCAAATATGAAATTTGTAACAATTCCGGTGGATAATGTCGCCAAAAGCATCAAAATACCGAATATGGGGAGGACCGTTATATTGAGGCTATACGAAGACTTAGATCTGCATTGACAATTTTCGATGACAAGCTGTAGTACCAATTAGGAAATACAACTACGAAATTTGAAACAATTTCGTTTGATAATGTCGCCAAAATTATAAAAATACACAATATGGGGAGGTACCGTTATATGGAGGCTATACGAAGACCTAGATCTGCATAGCAAATTTTGTCACAGACTATAATACCCATTAGGAACTTCAAATACGAAATTTAAAACAATTCAGGTTAATAATGTCGCTATAATCATCGAAATACCGATTATCGGGAGGTTTATATGGGAGCTATACGAAGACGTGAACCTGCATACGACGTTTTTTACATAGACAGCAGTATCCATTCCAAAATTCGAAAGCGAAAATTCCAACAATTCGGGATAATGATGTCGTTAAAATCGTCAAAATATCCAATATCGGGAGGCACCGTTATATGGGGGCTATACGAAAACGTGAACCGACATAGCCCATTTTCGAACTTAAACTACTTACTGGGAAAATACACATGTGTGCAAAATGTTAGCCTTCTATCTCAATTCGTTCGCAGCTCACGACAAGTTGGAGCTGGAGCAATGGACAGACAGACGGGCATCGCTAATTCGTCTTAGAATTTTACTTTGATCCAGAATATACCTAAATGAAATATAGCTCCTAAAGCTATAGCAAATTTGAATATAACTCCCATATTATATTTATCCGATTTTAAGTTTTTTTGAACACCAAATGGTTAATATAAGCCCGAATTAAATGAAAATTTGGCACATACTAACGAACTAAGCCTGGAAGAAGTTCCCCATAGACAGCTTGCAAACAGTTCATAGCAGTCTTTAAATAAAAAAATCCTCTCTTGCTTAACCGACGTTAATAACTTAATTCCAAGATTGTAATGCTCTAATGATCAAGCTTAACACTTTCAATCACATTTCCTCCAAGACTGGCCAAATGATGTGAATAGGAAACTGGTATGGAAATACGGGCAGAAGAAAAAGAAAGTTCAGCTACACATGGAGTTTCTCTGGCCAGAGGCCAACAACAAATTTATTTGATTGCCACAAAAGTCAACATAGCAACAACGACAAAAAAACACACACATACAACAATAAAATTAAATATTTCATTAACCCGAAACTCCTAACCATTTCAAATTCTCTCTTTGTAGGCAATCGTATTTTAACACGTTTCAATGAAATCTATGCCCCCACTGCACCATTTCCAACGACAACAACAACGTCAACAATGCCCAGTGCCAATGCAACAACCACAACTTCAAATAAAACCAAAGCAAAACCGACCCCAACAAATACAACGACCTCAACGGCAGCAGCAGCAACAACAACATTGGATTACGAAGCAGCAACAGCAGTAGCAGCAAGTGTCGTGCACACACCTGCAACGGCAGCGTCGACCACAACATCGCCAATGCACAAGTTGCCATTGCCACCCGACTTGAATTGTGAACGGGCACGTATCGAAATGCGTCTAAACGAAATCGAAAAACGCCAGACAGACGTGCGCACAGCCTGGCTGGAGCTGTTGCAGTCGGTGAGAGAAGCCAGAGAAGTGGCCCATCTGGAGGAGGGGGTGGCCTTTGTAACCAATTGGATTTTAAATACCGCCGAACAAAAGCTCAATCGTCAAACGAGTATCGGCTGTGATGTCAAGGCATGCGAACAGCTGAGGGCAGCTCACGACAAGTTGGAGCTGGAATGCCGCGAGACATATGGTTTTTATGCCGAGCTATTGTACAAAATCGATTCGTATGCTGGGAACAAGGATACGCCCGGCTATCGTGACCTATTGCCGCAGAAGGAATTCATGCAGTTTGTGTGTCGCTCGTTTGCAACTCGCTTGGAGCGGCGACGCAATATTCTCATTACTTCGTTGAGATTTTATCGTTTGGTAAGCGAATACTTTGAGCGCACCACGGAGGTGTTCGAGTCCCTAGTCATGGGTAGCGGTAATAAAATCGAAGATTTATCAGCAGCTACCAGTACACTGCAAAAGCTGAAGAGTTCCCAACAAAGTTTAGGTAAGTGGAGTATGGAGTATGTATATTTTGCGGTTAATTGTTTGAATTCTTGAGGTTTGGCAGATCTTTGAAAGAAAGGAACAATTTAAAATAAAAAAAGAAAGAGGAATACTGGGGCAACATTTCAAAAATAACTCAAATTCTTGTGGTTGTAAACAAAAAGAATAATAACCAGTAGGACAGGGATTAAAGTCGGTCGGGCCGATTATACCCTACGTATCTGCGCATATTTAGCAGTTCTATGCGTAACTAATATACGTCCATATAGAGAATTTGTGTAAGGTTAATAGTACCAACTTTGATCGTCATTGAATGGGTGTAATGGCCTTAGAGCGATTGAACTTTGAACTCCAAAGGAACTAATACTTGGGTGCAATATCTTAATCTGAATCGATTTCCACTACATTTTTCTGAGGTATTTTTTCGGCTGTATGTGACCTCTCGTACTTTTGCTATAGAGTATCATTGGGCACTAATATAAAATCGGATGAAACATAAGTATGAAAGTTATAGCTATATGGGAATCGATTTGATCCAAGCTTGGCAGACTTTGTTATAGTCAGAACTTGTTGGTATATTAAAAATTCAAGCAAATTGGAAAATCATAGCATCGTGCATCACATACATAAAATTATGGAGGAGTATTTAGGAGAGCTAATCCTAATTGAAAGCGATTTTGACAGAATTCGGCAAAGGTATTTCTAAGGTATGTGGGAGCTTTTGCAGGAGCTTCAAAAAAAAAAAAAAAAAAATAAAATTGGGATACAATTGGACAATATATGGGACTTGTACTTTTAGTACCAAAACTAATTTACAGACGGAGGGACAGGCTGACAGACATTCATAAATCGACTAAGGATAGGATTCAATACATATCACCATATATGCACACCCCTTAAGACCAAAAAGGGCTCAATATCAAATACCAGAATATCAGATCTATCCCTTCCCAATAATCCCAATAACAAATTTAGTACGCATTTCCAAAACAGTCTAGACACAAGTGATCCAAAATTAGTACTATTTAGTACTTTTCGAACAATTGTAGTACGCATATCCAAAACAAGCTTCTTCTCCCAACCACAGACACAGACATTGACATCCGTATAAAAATTCAGGATTACTCTATTCCATCACCCAATACCGATTTTAGTACGACTTTGTACTTTTCGTACAAATACATTTCCGAACCCAGATTCTATCAGTAATTTAAATATGCAAATTTCAGCATTTTATGTCAACCCCTTCATCTAATACCAAATTTAGTACTTTTCGTAAAATTATGGCGCACATTTCTGAATCCACCTCCATATTTCAATTCCAGATACCAACAGAGACCTCAATATAAATTCCGTCCCTATCCCTTCACCCAATACCAAATGTAGTACAATTTAGTACTTTTCGTAGAATTATAGTACACATTTCCAAAACCACCTCCATATGTCCAGGCTACACGTAAACAGCACTATCTATTCATCCAATACGAAATTGTAACAAAAATATTGTACCATTTAGTACATTTGGTATAACTATGGTACATATTTCCAAAACCACCTTTTTATATCAAACTTACTTCCCAACATTGATTTTCATACAAAATTTCTCTGGTTCTATTTCTATTTTTAAAATTTAAATACCATTTTAATACGAATTTCCAAAAAAAAAAATCAAACTGATCCTCGTGCAAAATTAGATTTTAGCTTCAGCCGCTTCGTGTGGACCTTTATTTCCAGTCAGCTATTTCACTTCTTCTTCATATATAGATTATGGAGCATTCGTCCGATGCCTTCCATTTCCCGATGAGGGAATCGCCTAGGGTCGTTAAAGTTGGAGTTGACCCTTTGGCGCCTATTCGAAGATAATATTGAAGTATAAACTTTATTATTGTCTCACTTTTGACATTAGTGTCCCCACCGCCCCAGTAAAAATAGTTCGGCCGGGCCGAACTTTGAATACCCTCCAGCATTTGGAACGATAAAATCCGTTAACAATTTTGTAAAAATCCTAAAAATACCCTAATATAACGGCTATATTCGGCATTTTTAAGATTTTAACAGAATTTTTAACGGATTTTATTTTTTTTTCGAAAATTTTCAAATTCCAGCTTTTCTCATAAGCCATTACTATAATCAAAATACGAAACTTGAAAAAAATCCGATGAATAATGTTGCTAAAATCATCAAAATACCGAGTATAGGAAGGTACCATTATATCGGGGCTATACGAAGTCCTGGACCTGCATAGATATTTTTCTGTCACAGGCTGTAGTACCTATTAGGAACTGAAAATAGGAAATTTCAAAAAATGACGGTGAATATTGTATCTAAAATCCTCAAAATACCGAATATGGGGAGGTACTGATATATGGGGCCTATACGAGGACATAGACCATAGACAATTTTCTGTCATAGACTATAGTTCCCATTACGAACTCTGAATATGAAATTTGAAACAACTCCTGTGAATAATATCGCTAAATCATTAAAATACCGAATATTGTGAGGTACCGTTATATAGAGGCTATACGAAGACGTGGGCCTGCATACACAATTTTTTGTCATGGTCTTCAGTTCTCATTACGAGTTCTAAATATGAAATTTAAAAACAATTCCGGTGAATAATGTTCCTAAAATCGTCCTAGAAAGAACTTCTAGTATGGATTTTTACACAATTTGATTGAAAATGTAGCAAAAATCATCAAAATACCGAATATAGGGAGGTGGGCTTACATAGGGGATATACGATATCGTGAACCTATATAGACAATTCTCTTTCAGGGGGTAAAGTACTCAGAAGGAACTCCTTTTGTGCATTTTTCATTGAATAATTTGGCCACAATCATCAAGATACCGAATATCGGGGGGTACGGTTATATGGGGGTTATAAAATATCGATATAGCTCATCTTCGAACTTGACCTGCCTTCATACAAAAGACAGACGGGCGGAATGACGGACGGACAGGTCTAAATCGTCTTATAATTTTACGCTGATCAAAAATACATCCATGTATGTTGGTTTTTTAATCAAAATGTAAACCTTCTGTGTTGGAGGTATCAGAGGAAGCAAGCCGATAAATTCTATATTCACATCAGATCTCTGGCTACCAAGATTTAAAAGAATGGCTGACTTGTTTTGCAAATTATGAGAGATATAAGTATTGAAAATTGTGAGTCTTTGTGGAGCAGGTACCGGAAGGTGTGGGTTTTGGAAGGGGGAGGGTGATTAGGGACAAGATCGCTTTCTTATTCTATGCTCTTCTATGAAAATATAAAATGGAAAATATTTTCTTTTTAACATTTTTCATTTGACATAGCTCTTCTTTACGAAAGTGTCATTGCAAAGAACAATAGTTAAGCTCCAGGCCCTCAAAAATACACCCCTATGAGAAATTCAATAAAACCACAACCCCAAAATTACAATATTTTCAATTCCCTTTTGGGCATATTACAGGCTTTGCTCTTTCTACGGTCTTTTAAAATCAATGAGCCGCAGACAAACCCGTACCTTCAAGGCTTTACCGCCTTCAATGTTTCCCGAACCTTTCATTAATTCAAAATGTCTCAATTCAAATTTCATTGTTCTCTTTTTTTTCGTTTAGCTGCCATTGAACGTGAACTGATCAAGGATGGCGAAAAACTCAGCGACATACTATCGATGCCGGTAAAAGATGCACTTGGCCGTGACCTACACATCGACTACAGCGACGACATTTACAATATCCGCGAAATTTTGGACACGACACTGGCGCGGCGTAAAATATTCAGCGACAGCGTTGAACTGCAAAAGCTCACCTTGGAACAGCTGACACACATTTTCACCTACGAACAGGATGCACGAATGGCCATCAAATGGCTGGACGATTTGTACAATGTCATGATCAAGTGTCATTCGCATGTGGGCTGTAACATCCATGAGATACAGGTGCAAAAGGATGAATTGCAAACGTTTCAGGAAACTGGAAAGGTAAGAAGCATGAGGTGTGTCAGATTGCAACAGCAAGGCAAGGAGGAATACGAGTGTAGAATGTGTATGATCGTGTGTGACTGTGTGTGTGTGTTTGCATGTGGTAAAACAATGCAGTCATACTGGTTACACCTGAACGGTTGGATGGCGATAATTCAGTCAATAGGATTGGCGGATTGCCACAATTGTGGGGCAGTTTTATGGTTGAAGGGTACTGCAAAGGGGGAATTTTGTTTGTGATCCAGTTCCAAGTTATTGGTGTTGAGTTGATGTCTTTGCTTTTATGGGAGTGCTCTGTTGTTTGACCACTAATCAGTGGTTTGTCTGGCTGTAATATGATGTCTTTTAGAATAGTGTATAGTAAATCGACTATTTTTATACCCTCCACCATTCTATGGCGGGTTTATTAACTTTGTCATTCCGCTTGTAACTAATCGAAATACTCATGATAGATCATACAGTCTATATGTATACATACTGGTTCAGAGTAAAATTCTATCTCGATTTAGCGATGTCCGTCTGTTTATCGGTTGTAATCACGGTGTCTTTCGAATGAATTGAGATAGAAGGCTAAAATTTTGGCACACATGTGTATTTTGCTAGAAGGCAGGTTTAGTTCGTAATTGAGCCATGTCGGTCCACCTCTCAATATTCTGTATTTTGATGATTCTTAGCGACATTACTCATCGGAAATTGCTTCAAATTTCGTATTTGAGGTTCGGAGTCGGTACTACAGCCCATGACAAAAAATTACTTATGCAGATCCAGGTCTTCTTATAGCCCCCATACCCACAGCCATACGGCTGGATATAGGTATACGAAGACGTGGACCTGCATGCACAATTTTTGTCATAGACTGTAGTACCCATTACGAACTTTAAATAAAAAAATTGAAATAATTCCAGTGAATAATGTCGCTACCATCATCAAAATACTGAATATCTGGGGTACCGTTATATGGGAACCATACGATTTCGGGACCGATATATCCCATCTTCGAACTTGACCTGTCTGCAGACAAATGACTGATCTGCATGAGGTACTAGGTATAGATATAGACAGAAGTATTCCAGTTCATCTAATACGGAGAATGAGCAAAACATTTGGAAACAAATATTTCCAAGTTTATGCGAATACTTAATCAAAATTTAAACTTTTTTCCAGAAGGAGTGGATCGATATGTCCAATCTTCCTACTAGACCTTGTGTTAATACAAATATTGGTATATGTGAAATTTGAAGACAATCGGACTAATTCTAAAGTTCTAAATTTGGAACCATTATGAGAGAGGCCCCAATACCCACAGCCCTACGGCTATTACTTGTTATGGCCAAAACGTGCCTCATCGAAGTATTAGTTTTAGACCTTAAGTCCCTTTATACCAAATCGGTTTCAGAATATTTGCAGTCGATCTAGAGGTGCCCGTCCGTCTGTCTGTCTGGCTGGTGCGCACGATAACTCTCGCATGAAGTATCCGATTTGGTCCGAACTTAGTATATCGCAACATTATCGTCAAACTTACATCAAGTTCGGAGATGAGCTAGCACTAATGCAAATATTAAGATTTCCAAAGATGGAGCAAAATCGGATTATCCTTTCTCATTCTGTGCAGTAAACGAAGGAGTAGACCGCCTTCTGGTACCTAACCCATAAAAGTTCAAAATTTTCAAAATAAAAAAATAAATAAAAAAATTAATAAATCTTTTACTGCACAGAATGAGAAAGTATAATCCGATTTTGCTCCAACTATCCAAATCCTATCCTATACAATATCATTCCACTCCATCAAGTACAGAATGGAGTTCAAAAAACGCGAAATTAACATCCGATTCCATTCAGACTTGGCACATCTCAATATTTCTATCAACACAAGATCTGTTATAAAGATGGTAGAGGTCGGACCATTCATCTGCTGTAATGATAGAATGTATCGGTTCACTCCTTCTGGTACCTCCCCCACAAAGGGTCAACATTTTGAATAACAATGAAGTTCATAAAACTCGAAATTAAAATCCGATTCCATTCTGACTTCAATATTTTCATCAACACAAACCATTTCTTCTGGTACCTACCCCTGAAAAAAATTTTGATTAACCAAACGATCATAGTTTCCGAAATTAGCATCCGGTTTTCTTCAAATTGCACATATGCCATTATTTTTACTAACACATGATCTGCTGTGAAAATTGGATATATCGGCGCACTTCTTCTGGTAACTCACACACAAAGGGTCACAATTTCCAATACTTATATCTGCCATAACTTGTGAAACATGTCGGCGATTCTATACAACTGGCTATATCTAAATATTTCTCTTAACAGGAAATTTGATATGAATATATAATTTATGGGAATTTATGATTTCGTATATAATAGGATATAAGTGTTCGATTTCTTTTATATATTACACATACCAATATTTATACCCTACACCACAAGGTGGTCAGGGTATTATGTCTTTGTGCATTTGTTTGTAACAGGCAGAAAGAAACGAGATAGACCCATAGTTCCTTTTGATGATCTGCATAGAATCACATTCTGAGTCGATTTATGCATGTCCGTCCGTCCGTCTGTCCGTCTGTCCATGTATTTTTGTAAACAAAGTACAGGTCGCACTTATTGCCCGATCCAGATGAAATTTTGCACAGATCATTTGTTTGGCCCAAGGACGAACCCTATTGGAGATAATCGGTCAAAATTTAGATATAGCTCCCATATATATCTTCGTCTGATTTGCTTTTTATTGTGCACCAAACGTGTAATATCAGCCCGAATTATATGAAATTTAGCATATACACCCAAATTAGGCCTGAAAATATGTATGCCAAATTTGATCAAAATCGGTTCAGATATAGCTATAGCTCCCATATATATTGTTCATCCGATTTGTTATTTTTGTCCACCGCCGCCGTAATATGCACTATGCAACAACAATATTTGGGGAAATATATCAAATACAGCTCAGAAATACATTTGCTAAATTTTATCGAGATCGGTTCAGATTTGGATATAGCTCCCATATATAACTTCGTCCGATTTACCTTTTATTGTGCTCCAAACGTCTAATATTTGTCCAAATGGGATGAAATTTGGCACTTACGACCGAATTGAGTCTAGAAGGTAGTATGTGAAATTTGGTGAAGATCGGTTCAGATATAGCTATAGCTTCCATGTATATTATTCATCCGATTTGTTATATTTGTTACCCACAACCGTAATATGCACTCCGTAACAACGATATTCAGGGAAATATATCAAATACAGTTTAGAAATATCTGTGCCAAGTTTTATCGAGATCGGTTCAGATTTCAAATTAATTGTGCACCAAATGGGTAATAAAATTCCGAATTTGAAAGATATAAATGCCCTTTGAACTTTAAATTATAATCACAGCGTGTATGATTGAATTCTCCCATAAAAACTTTTAATTGTTATGTGGAGCTCTACTTAATTAGCAAAGTGGTGTAGGGTATCATAAAGTCGGCCTCGCCCGACTTTAAGACTTTCTTTACTGGTTTTATATGTATAAAATGAAATGGAATATTTCGGTCCGCTATATCTGGTACGTCACGCCTATTTCAACATTTTCCAAAAATTTCCACATATCTCATATCAAGTTGTAATATTTATATCAGACTTAGGTCAGGTACGAATTGGACAGTATTGGCCAACTCGTTCGGAACTCCCCCATAAACGGCCAACAGTTTAAATAATCATAACTCAAGGCTGGATGTATACATCTGTCAGCAAAACCGACTATTATTTAACTTGTTGGACTTATGAGAAATAATTTATTTAAATAAATCATTAAGCCAGAAATCGATAAAATGCACAAATACTATTATATTCTCTATCAAAGGTGGCATGTCATGCACACATGTGTGGTCAATTTAAGCTCTGTGCAAATTTGAAGTTCCATTTTCATGCACATTGCAGTGTTGCGGATGGTTCGATGTGGTTGCACTTGTTGCACCATTGTTGTGGTCAACACCACCACGTTATATTGTTCTGGGTAATAGCTTCAAAAGAGTTTTGTAGTTATTGTTGTAACATTTTTCTGCAATAATAATTGCATTGTTTATGGAAGGCTGCAAATTATGTTCAGTTAGTTTGATGACTAGTCAGCGATGCAACGGTTCAGTAACTGTTCCATAGAAATTACCGATTTTAGTTGATATAATTTTCAAAGAGACAGGAAATCACATATGTTATTTGTTAGGGAGTGAAAGGAAACTTTGGAAAGATGCGATTGGAAAAACGAGCATATTTACTATGAGGAGGAGGGAAATCCCCTTCATGTGTGTATGTCTAACAATTTAGTTTGGCAAAATGTTGTCGAAAAGTCGTCATTTATAAGCAGGCCTTATGACTATTGTGTTTAGATATCTGTGTTTTATACTGAAAATTACGTATTTTATACTGAAACTAGCTGAACCCGGTGCGCTTCACTACCCCTTTTGATTTTATATGCATTCAAAATTTTATTTACGAATATATGTTGGTTAAAAAAAACAAATTTAAAAATTAAAGAAAAAATTATTGCACTACTTTAATGCATAAATAACCAAAACCATAAGAAATCAGTAACATGACATACATACACGAAGGGTTTGTCCTTTGGATTTATTTCTTTCATAGCAAATACCAAGCGTGCAGTAAACTGCAATCTTTTGAAGTTGAGTGGCATTTCTATTGCAATTAGTGAATTCGAGATAACAACATACTTCGCCGTAATAAGCGTATTTCAAATCAATTGCTGTGTTGTTTTTTAGTGTTAGCCTAAGGCGTTGTGGGTCAATGGTTCTTATTAAAATCATATCCCAATCTGATCCGATTTAAATATAATTTAAAAAAAAATTACTTTTACACCAAACTCCGCCACACCTTTCATATTTCATAGAAATTGGTGCGTCAAATATATGAAATCGGCCGATAATATATATATGGGAGCTATATCCGAATCTTAACTAATTTCTAATTCATTTGTCACATTTATTATT